CCTGCTGCTCTGTTCCCCCAGTCTTACTTTTTCTCGTTAAATCTTGGGATTTAAAACATACCTGTGGCTGAGCCTAACCTCTCTGCAGTTTGTCATGCTGATGGCCATTGCTGGGACCAAGGTGAGCTGCACCCAGAGCACTTTGTGTCTGCTGTAAGCAGGTTGTTGCCTATTTCCCTGTATTCCCTGGAGACCATTGGGAAGGAGCAGGCTGAAGTTTTCAGGGTGCAAAAAGTCAGCTTTTATTCTGGCTAGGTGAATTAAACACTCTCTCCCTGCCTTTCTGGCTGTAATGATGGAATGCTTCTCTCTTGCTGCTTGATGTGCAGAAAATTCAAAGTGACTCTTCAGTGTGTTGGTGCCTGCTGTGCATCCCTCAACAGCAGCTCACTAGTAAGCTATCAAAATTGAAGAGCTCTCAATTGCACCCAGGCCAACACGAGGGACTTGTTTCTGTGCTTGGTCACTTTATTCTTCTGAAGCTTCTCAACTCTGCAGTAATCCAGTCTATCCTCCTTTTATGTCCCCCCAGTCTCAGACAATCTGCCCTGGGCTCCAGCCAAGGGAGAATCTCAAGTCCAGCTGCTGCCTGGGGGCATCAGAGCTGTGGAGCTGGGTGGGCATCACCTCCTGCCTGTGCTGTTTCCTTCCATCCTGTGCTCAGAGGCAAAGCTGCCTCAGGTTCTTTGGTTGCAGAGTTGCACACTTCACTCTCACCCTGTCAAACTCCATCAGGGACAGGCAGGGCCTGCAGGAGGACACCCCAGCTGAGAGGGGCTGGGAAATGTAACCTAGGGACGAGCTCAGGGGGATGAGCTGTCAGGGCTGTCACTGTCTTCTAGGAACCCAAAGCTCAGACTCCTCTCTCCAGCAAACCAAGCACAGGCTCTTGGCCTCAGGAGCATTTTCCACTTGTTAATAGATGAACTTTGCTGGAGGTTCCCACTCTGACACGGATGGTTTTGTCTCAGTGAGGAAGGTCTGAGCCCTTTCTGGTTTAGCAGCAGCTTCACTCAGAGGCAGCCAAGTGTATTGTGACTCTGCATCTTCCTAGCATCTCTCCTATTTGCCAGGTTTGGTGGGCTCGGGCTCATCTGCGACTTCCCAAAGCATCACAGGGATCTTGGCTGCTCCTCTCATCCTCACTCCAGGGGGAGCCTGTGTGGGTGGAACATGGGCCGAGGCTCACTCACTCTTTAGCACTTCTGCCTTCCCTAAGCCTTCCCTAATTAAATGCCTCCTTACTGCCTATCAATCAATCACCTCCAGCGGCCAGCAGGCACCTAGGGGTGAGTGCACTGCCTCAGGTCCCAGAACTCTCCGTGCCGGAATCAAAAGCTTGGCTGCTGGCACAGACACAGCTCTGCCTCGGCAGCTCACCCTCCTGCAGCAGTTTGTGTGTCTTTACAGGCACAACACTGCAGTTGTTCTGTGCTACCTCTCCCTTCAACCCCTGTGCCCTCTGCTCCCAGGACCACGTGCACAACCACCTACCTTCCCCAGCAGGACTGGGAATGGCCCTGATGGTGCCAGAAGCCACGGGCAGAGCAGCTGTGCTGCTGTGTCCCACACTTCACACAGGAGACAAAAACCCAGGCCTGCTTCCCTGCTCAGTGATCCGGGGTGAGTTCAGCTCTGCTGCTCACACGTTAGCAGCAGGACCCACTGCCCTGCAGGGAGGTGCTGGGCATGGCTGGGAAGGGCTGAGATGACACTCTGTGTTAGCACTGCAGCTGTCACCAACCAGAAGAGGAACAGCCAAGTACCAGGAGCTTAGTCTCCACTTGAAACTGGGTCTGTTGTTTGTGTTTTCCTAAATGTCACAATTTTGCTGTAAATAGCACAGATATGAACAGTTTTAGACAGAAACTCCAAGATGATCGTATCTGTTATACAAATAGAAGCATAAAAGGAGAGGCAAATCAATTAAATTAGAAATCACATTTAAGTGTGGCAAAACTAACTTGGCCTACTTAATGAACTAGTAAGTCAGGAACTGAACAGCTCAGCACTTACAAAGCCTTTGTTTTACAAACATGCTGCCACTCAGCCAAGAGGGGCCCTGTGTTGTAAAGCAGGTGAAATGATGTACATCATGACAGCTGCCCCTGTTAGCTCTGCAGTGTTGTAGATGTGCAGCTCACAGCAGATGACTCTGTGTGTGACATCCTGTGACCCTGTAAGGAAACCACAGCCCAAACCTGCACCACACACAGAGTGTCTGGGGGTTAGTGCAGCTTCCCCACGCAGTGGCAGCTCAAAGGCTTCTCCAGGAAATCACCCAGAGGCTCTGTGGCTTTCACCAGTGCCCCAGTTTGCAGGCTGAGTTGTACTCTGTGCCTGCAGCAGCTGCAGAGGATTCTCTCCCTCCCTAAAGGTTACCAGTGCAGCACTGTGCCCCAGTCTGTGCGTCAGAGCTGTCACTCCAAGCCATCTGCAACGTGCTGCTGCTTAATTTAAATGCTAACTTGTTTGCTCCTCAAAACACGCAAGAAAAGAGAGAAGGACCATGAAACAATTATGTGGAGCTTTGCAAGGCCTTTTTGCTCACTTCCTTCCACAGAGACAAGTAGGACCATCTGAGGAAAATTCTGCAGGAGGGAAGAAGGCAATTAATTTCAGTTGCAGATCCTGAATTTACAGTACTTAATTGCTTTAGCTAACGCTTCTGGTTTTGTTTTCTTCTTTTCCAGTGGTGCCCTGGAAGCTTATGTTCAGTCAGTCAGAACAAGAGACGAGAAGGAGTTTGCCCCAGTCTATCCCATCATGGTTCAGCTGCTGCAGAAAGCCATGTCAACCCTCCAGTGAGCACACCTGGCAGTGCTGGCCCAGCAGGGAATGGACAGGAACACACTCGTGGGGCTTTGGTGCCACATCTGTATTTATGGTTGGTGTAAATTATTCCCAAGTACATGAGCTTTACAATGACACGTGTTTACCTCCTTCAGCTGTGATTCTGTCTTCTTGCTTTACAGGAACTTACACAGAAATATTACAAGCAATTTTTTTTCTATTAGATGTAGACTTACAGCACTTAAAAGTTGTACATTTTGAATTCAGAATTCAAGTTAGACTCAAAAATTAGAACCTACTCAAACATCACAGTACAATTGCTGGATAGCTCAAATAAAGAAGCAGCTCTTTTCTTACCAGCAGAGTTTGAAACAGTTGGATACATTTTAGCCTTATTCAGAAACTTGTACTTTTAAAATTCTAAAATCATCAGTTTCCATCTAAAAATCACTAATTTTAACACAAGGAAAAACATTTATAACTAATGCAAACGATTCTCTTCTCTTGCACTGCTACTTGCTTAGAAATAATTTATATTGATTTCAACTTTTTGCTCAAACTGTAATAAAGAACATTGAACTATCCAGTCCTGAAATCAGTACCTGAAATTCTTCAGCAGTTTCCTAATGGCAAAGCACTGAAATACCCTTGGGCTGGGATCAGGCACAGAATTCCATGCAGAATGTGCTCATCCCTGCAGGGCTCACTTGGGACTCCTCCTCTTCATGAACTACACAACACCAGATTTTAATGGATTTATTTGAAATAATATACAAGAATATAGTGTGCAAAAATCTTAGGGGCAACATCATGTAGACGTGTCATAAACTGAAATTTACAGTTGTGATTCTTAAAAAAAAAAAAAACCAACCCCAACCAATGCACAGCTGTTTAGTACAGGGAAAGCCATGATTGTAAAGGTTCACAGCAAAGCAATCGCAACCCTAACGCAGCTGCTCTAATTTTAGACAGTCGGAGGAGAGGAAAAAAAAAGTAAAGTGCAAGTGTTGCACGTATAGTTAAGTGCAAAGTTTGCCCCCACCATAAAGATGTCTTATGGCAAAATAAAATATTGTAGAATATGTGGCAAAGACAAAACACAGAGTTGTAACTATGATGGTGATGATATGAACAGCACCATTGCTCTGGAGAGACACGACGCGCTCGTTTCACCCCGTCCTGGGCTGCTGTTTCCTCGGGAGGTGCCAGAGAACTCACACCTCCAGCAGCAGCTCCCCCTGCTACATCACAGCTCCTCTCCATCCCCACCTCTTCTGGCAATTGCTGGCAGAGGGGCAGGCTGGGAAGCTACAGGCTGAGAATACATTTTGCCATTTCAAAAAGTCCCAGGCCCCAGAATTGCAATTAATAATACGTTTGTGCAATACATATTAATCAGCAATACGAATCAATGTATATAAACAGCTGTTACATATTTTAAAATTCCCCTTTTTGTACATTTTTTTTTCTTTTAAAAATAAACATTTATACACATCTCCTTCACCTCTTTCTAAAGTACTTTAGCACCACAGGATATCCATTTTCAAGCCTATATTACCTGATACATATATGAAGTTTGGAAGAAAATAAGGCAATTTGGTTTAAAATGCTGATAGTTTTAGCTTACTTAATGTTCTATTGTAAAAAGCAAATCTGCACTCAGATCATTTCCAACTTGATGGTGCCAGTGGGTAATGGTCACACAGAGTCATAACAAAGAGTAAGACCTTGATCTTGCATCTTCTTGCCATCAAGCAACAGCCATTTTGCAAATACAGAGTTATCAAGAAAATTCTGGCTTAATGCTGTTGTGAGCCCTGAGGAAAAGGAGAAAACAGATTAGGAGTTACCAAGCAAAGGGGACTGAGACATCACCTTCAGTCTAGCCAATGCTTGCTTTGAAAGCCACAAGTACTTCTGATCACTGGTCAGTTTTTCAGAAGACAAAAAGGCCAAACCAGATTGGTTTATCCCCTGATCATGAAAAGACCATCAAGACTTTGTCAAAGCCTGAAGTCCACTGTCATTACTCAGTAAGGTAACCAAACTGCAAACAGTCCAGTTCACTGAACTAAAACAACTAAAAAACAGGTATTTCCTGCTGTAACACTGAGGTAACAGGTTCTACAGATCCTGTTCTCTTGGCCTGAAGACCTTGAGGATAAGGAGAATCCTGCTACAGGTAGGGTAAGATGTCCATCCCTCTTCCTGAGGCCAATCCATCACTACTTCTCTCAGCTATGCACAACCACCACCGAGTTGCCTGAAGCTCACAGGTGAATGTGTGATCTCACCATCCAAAGCCCAAGATTGCAGGAGTGTAACAGCAGGATAAATAAACAGTATTATTTTAACTAAAGCCACAAGGAAACCTAACAGAAGCTGTCACTGCTGATTAAAAGAGAATGCAGGGAACAGAGAAACAGCTTGTTCCTAGCAGCTGGGACTGGGTAGAACCTTCTGCAACAAGGGACTGGAAACTCGGCACAAAGTATGCACAGCAGAAAGAAGCAACTTTGTGCTGGTGCATTTTTTACTCAGTCTTAAGGCAACACTTGCCTAGCTCTTGAGAAAGCAGCCTCATTAACACATGAAAGGGAAGGGGGTAACTGCAGGATGAAATCTTACACCACGGATGGTTTCACCAACCATGCTGATGAAGGAAGTCCACACTTCAAGCTCCTCCCCAGGCATAAAATGGCTGATGAAAGGACTTGGTATTCTGTGCACCTCAGTGGATCTTTCCTTCCAAGCAGCTCTTCTAGAATCTCCTTTTTTTGACCCTCACTTTATATGATGTTTCAGGTTGAAAGCCATTCTCTCTCTAAACACATCCACCACCTACTGACACACAGCTGCAGACTCTAGGATTGAT